CCAGTTTCATACTGGAGCTCTGAGCAATCGTACTGCTCTCTTACATACAGTGCAACTCCTCCACCTTTTCTCTCCTGCCAGTCCTTCCTGAATAGTTTATACCCATCCATGACAGTACTTCAGTCATGTGAGTTACTCCACCAAGTCTCTGTTTCTCCAATCACATCTTAGTTCCTTGACTGTGCCAGGACTTCCAATTTTTCCAATTCTTCCAATGCTTGTTTCCCAGGCTTATTGTGTTCATGTACAGGCACTTAAGATAGCTAGCCGATTGCCCTGCTTTCTCAGTATGAATCAGGAGGCCGCCCCTGTTACACCCTCCTCATTGTGTTTCTTCCCGGTATCCCACATCCCCACTTACCTCTGGACTTAGGTCACCATCCCACGGTGAACCTTGTTTAAAGCCCTCCTCACTAGGTTAGCAAGCCTGCCTGTGAAGATGCTCTTTCCTCTCTTCATTAGGTGGATCTCATCTCTTCCTAGCAATCCTTCTTCCTGGAACAACATCCCATGGTCAAAGAATCCAAAGCCCTCTCTCCGACACCACCTGCGTAACCACTTATTTACTTCCACAATTCAATGGTCCCTACCTGGGCCTTTTCCTTCAACAGGGAGGATGGACGAGAAGATGACTTGCTCCTCAAACTCCTTTATCCTTCTTCCCAGAGTCATGTAGTCTGCAGTGACACACTCAGGGTCATTCTGAGTAGTATCGGTGTCCACGTGGAGAAGTAGGAAGGGGGTAGCAGTCCGAGGGCTTGATCAGTCTCAGCAGACGCTCCATCATATCCTGAATTCTAGCTCCAGGCAAGCAGCACACTTCTCATGTCTCCTGGTCTGGATGGCAGAAGGATGACTCCATCCCCCTTAGGAGGGAGTCCCCGACCACCACCACCCATCTCCTCCTTTTGGGAGTTCTGGTTGTGGAACCCCCATTCATAGGACAATGCATCCCATGCGTTCCGGTCAACGGGTTCTCCTTCTGATCCCTTTCCTAAGATAACTCTTCCAAACCGTTCTCCACCAGTACCTGTGCAGAGAGCATGAAAATGATTTCTTACCTCTATCTGCATTGGGGGTACATGGGTTCTCCTCTTTCTTCTTCTGGAGGTCACATGCTGCGAATTTTGTTCCCTGTTCTGCACTGCCCTCTCTGATTCTTCAGCATGCTATACCTGCAGTTCCAAATGCTGACTTCTATCCAGAAAGTCTTCATTTTCTCTGATGCAATGCAGGGTTGATACTTGGGTCTCTAGTCCTTTAACCTTCTCTTCCAATATGAAGACCAGCTTGCACTTCGTACAGATGAAGTCGTTTCTATCCTTTGGGAGAAAGACAAACATGGCACATCCTGTGCAGGTCACAACAGCTGATCGCTCACGATCTGTATCTTCCATCTAAAAGCCTCTTCAGATGGTGTATTTACTGCTCACAGAAGCCTGAAAGGCAAAAACACTCTGGGAGAACTCCCCCAGGCAAACTCACTTGGTTCGTAACTGGCTGCTTTTTTATAAGGCTGCTGGCTTGAAGCAGTTGGCCCGGCTCAAAGCCTTCCCTCCAATAAACCACGCAAGGCCCACCTGGAACAAAGCACTCCCAATTCACACTTTTCAAACAAACAACCACACAGCCAAACAGTTACACTTAAGTTACACTACCCTAGGTTTTCATTTACAATCAGATCACTAGTTCAACAAACCTGAGGAGCATGTGATAATGAAGTTAGTTATTCTCCTAAGTCAGAAAAGAAAACAAAAACCCTTTGGATGAGAATGCAAAGACCACTGAGATCGCTACTCAATTTCAGTAAACTGCTGAATCTAAAGATTTAGTTCAACAGGCAAAGGTAGACATGATAATAGCCTCTCTTGATAAGGATATCATTGTTCTGGGTGAGAAGGATGTCTTTCAAAAAATTGACTAGCCAGCAGAGTAAAGGGCTCTTTAAAGATACATTTTGAAGCTTCAGCTGTGTATTATAACCTCTTTTGCCAGAGAGGCAGTTGCCTGTGCTAATGATCTTCAAAGGTCCATAGGGGACATGAAAATCAAATCAGTGCTGAGAAAAATATCCATAGCAGCTGCTTTTGTTGCTGATGCATCCCTTGGCATGATCATATTCTCTGCTCAAATGGTTGCTCTGAACACAATGTCTCAGATAGTTATGGCTCCGCACCTGGAAAGAAAATAGACAAGCCAAGCAAGCTCTTTGGCAGGGAATTACATAAGATTGTTGTCGGGTCCAGTGAAAGACAAAACACACTTACTATTTTGGAAACTAGGTCAAAATAATTTCAGACCTTTCTACAGGCAGAGTACCATTTTACAATTAACGATCACTGGCAACGCAATCCAGAAGAGCTTTTTATTATAAAGGAATGCCCTGAACCAGAAGAAAAAGCCGAGGGGGTATGCAAGATTGAAGTACAGCTCCAATTCATCATTCAAGTAAAATAAGTCCAACTGTGACTTTCTTAGTCATTTCCCCATCTTCTCAACAATGATGAAGAGTTAGTGGGGAGGAGATGATCCCTCTTTCTAGAAAAGAGTGACCATAGGCAACTGTGTTTTTAATTTATTTTCTTAATTTTCTTTTTTAGTTAGAATAACGAAAGAACTGATAATCAGGCTCCTAATGACTTACAATCATTTAAATTCACAAACTAAATATGCAGTTCAGTCAGCTCACTCTCCATGCCAAAGCAGCAGCTCATAATCAAATGCTAACCACCCTATACCTCAATCTGTATCTCAGTACTTCTTCAAAAGTTGGATGAGACAAATGGATCCTGCAGTATGCCCTGGAAGTTGCAAATTCAGGCTGTATTGTACCAGGGGTTGAATGAGAATAGAGAATGTCCTGCCTACTCTCTCTCATATCAACTCTATTATATCAAGAAAGGATCTAGCATCCATGGCTCAGCTGATTGTAACTGTGATAGTGTTTCACAGGGAAAGAGGTGGTCTCTTAGGTAGGCTCATCCCAGGTAATTTAAAGCATATTAGGTCAAAACCTGATCTTGCCATATGCACAATCAAAGTTTTAGACCAAATATGTTCATATAAGTTCAGATAAATTATAGGACTGGATGGCTCATGGAATTGGTTATTTGATACAAAAAATGTACTTTAGTCACAGTTCTGGGTTAGGTAGTTAATAGAGCTCTGCAGAGTATGGAAGTTCTGGGTCATGAAGGATTTTGAAATTTGGCTTCGTTCAGAATCTGAACAAAAACTGAATTTCTGAATTTTTTTTTTAATTTTGTAGTATAAAGTTTAAAAAAAAATCAATTTTGAAACAAAAAATCAAAATGTTTCATTCCAAAAAATGTTAAAATAGGATGTTTCAACATCATTGAAACTTCCCCCTAGTTTTCTTCTGAAATAAAATCTGGTATAACTGACCCAATTTAATGAAGTTTCTGTTTCAATGAAACCAAATATTCCAACAAAATATGGTTTTGTCAGTTTCTCCAACCAGCTCTACTTGTTTGTGTATCATCTCATGGCTATTCAATGTAACAGATAAATACAGTAATAATCTCAGGTCATTGTCTACATCACTGTCAATCTTGTTAGTAAGCACTGTGTCGACCTTAGCGGTCTGCATTAAAAGTTCCCTAGTGCACTTTAATGTAATACTGTTTGAAATCACAAACCAATACCTTAAAGATTGAATTTTTAGCCAACATGCAAGCATTCTTATCTAAATCAAATCAATCCAAACCATACCTCTGAACTTTAGAGTTGCTATTCAAATGGATTCCATAAGCTCACTGATTTTGAGTAGGATTATGGCATTTGTTTTCAATTTTCCGTTATAAATCTAATTTTTAAAATATGCATGATGGGCTTCTTGTAGCAATATTATTTGTGCCATATCTGCATGTGGTGTCCTTGATCCGTTTATTTGTGCCAAATGTTGTGGATTTAAAATAGCATACAGTACACCCTTGTGCCAAACGTTGTGGATTTAAAATAGCATACAGTACACCCTAGCATACAGTGCACACTTTTCCCTTAATTATAATGAACCTTTAGTTATGATGAACACAGATCCTGGATCCCAACTACAGTACTATACTGTTATAAAAAAAAAGTGTACGGGGGAGGATGTTGCATATAGGTGCACAATTTTTACCCAGCCTGCCATGGGGTTGCCAGCTGAACTGGCATCCTGGACCCACTCTGCTGGCAGGAGCTGACAGGCCTCATTGTAATTGTTGTTTTTGCTGTAACGTACCCCTGGCTATAATGAACAAATGGCTTGGATCCTGATAGGTTTGTTATAGCGAGAGTGTATTGTATGTCTATTTTAAATATATTTCCCTCCCCTGTTGTATGAAAAACCCATGTAAGCAATTGGACAAACTAAGTAGTGGAACTGATCCTGCACAAGGTCATGTCAAATGAACAAAGCAAAGAAGCTATAAAAAAAAATCCCCTCTGATCTCAGGCACTATCTGTAATAAGTGTAGGGAAAATAATTCATTGTGATTGTTAAGTTGGTGTTATCCTCTGTAACCTTTCCACACTTCTGTTTTGATCAGTCTGGAAATAGGAATAACAGTTATTCCTCCAAATTCTTAAAATCATTAACGTTTGTAAAGTAAGATTGTTATAATGTTTGTTGACGACACTAAGGGTGTTGTATGAAGAATACATGGATTTTGTGTCATGGTAAAGGTTAAGATAAAATGCAACAATTTTATTCTTTTTAGTTTATAAATTGTATCATCCAAATGTGGTCTTCAGAGAATAAAACAATTTCTAGAGCATAATTTCATGTCTGATCTCCAAAAATAGAGGCTGTGCAGTAAGATTTTCATCCTTGTTCTTTGTATATATTGGATATGTAAAATATTTACATGAAAATAAGAATACAATATTTTGGCAAGACCCTATCATCATAAGTATGGGGTTATTTGTACAGTTCTAACTGAATTCTACTTCTATATTTTTTTTTTCTCTCATTTGCTTGTCTTATACATGTTTACCAGGATAGCCCAATGGTCTTACAGTCTGACAGGAACGTAACAGTGAACGCAAGAAATCACATGGGACAGTTAACTGGACAACTGACTGTAGGTGAGTGTTCTTCTTTAAAGAAGATTATTTGTATTATTTAAGTCTCATGAATAACCTTTTTATTCAGTGATGTAAAATATTTTTTGCAAAAACTCTGATAATCATACTGAAGAATAACATTGGGCCTGATGCAACACTCATTGGAAAGTAGAGCTAGTAGGGGAAAAAAAGAGAGAGAAAATGGATTTTTCATACATCAAAATCATTTATTTATTTTTTCATTTGTTTTTTTTTGTCACAAAAAACAAATATTTCAGCAGACAGTTTTGCATAAAATGAAATTTTTCTGGCTGCTTTCGATTTTTTCATGGAAAGTAATTATCCGTTTTCTAACAGAAAGACTTCCATCTCTTCAATGAGCATTGAATTGGTCCCCCTAGCCCAGATCCTGAATTCAGTCCTCCACAGATTCTGAATCTGAGTAACAGAATGTAAACAGTGTAAACCTATTTGAAATTCTTACCGAGATAACAAGATATTGTCTGTGTTGTCAAGACATCACTGTACTGTAATCAGGGTAATATGGAATATATTTCCAGTCATTAATGAAAATGAATTTGATATATCTTTATTTTACAATTGAGGGACAAAATATAAGAGCTAAAAATTCCAAATGAAATTAAAATTCAAAGTGGTCTAAAGTTACTAACTTCCAAATGTAACTAATGGGGTACATTTTATTTTGATTTCCTTTTATGTTATCCTGCTTTTATTAAGTCTACTATTTTCTAATATTTATTATTATAAGTATGATTTACTATACATTAAAGAATTACTAATAATATATTACTAATAAGGCTGTATATTTTAGTGGCGAGCACAGGACTGAAGGCATTCATGGCCTTCCTGGTAATATTTATGAAAAAGATTAATACTGCGGTAACCTTTAAAATAATTAAATGTCCTAGATAGAGGATATATTAGAAGGAAAGTAAATGGATACTGGCTGGGAAACCAAAAGTGTGTTGGTTTTCCTTTAACAATAGTTCTAACTTTTTTGATATTGTTGTCTTAAAAACTCTTGATCTTGTCTATCACACTTCTTGCTATGGGGAGGGTAGAAGAAAAACACAAACCTCTACACCCTGTTAGTAATTGCTATATAGTGTTAGTGGTGTTAACAGTTTTAATAGATGGTTCTACTATACAGGATGCTGTAGTAAAAAGTTTTTCATGAAAGTAGTATTTCTGTCTAGGGTTTATATCATTGATGTTATCATAAAATATTGCTGTCATCTTTTCTATGTAGTAAAACTTTTGGTAAAAGAATCTTGTGTTCCCTGGGGAAAGGATATTAAAAAGGGATTTTTTTTTTTAAATAAAGAACTCTTCTGTCTCATGTTATGAAACCTAAGATGTATTCAACCTGGAGAATCAACATACTATATATTCTACAGGAAAAGGATATGTCCAAATGAATGTTGTCATATTCTTTGTAAATTCAAGAAGAAATAACACAAAATACTGAGTAATCTTAAACTACTCAGAATGTTGTATTAATAACTTTACAGAAGTTTTTACTAGAGGTTGGAAATTTTTCAACAACATATTTTTTGTTGGAACATGCCATTTGGTTAAAACCAGAACTTTTTGCAGAAACGTTATGTTTCCACAAAACATTTATCAAGAACTTTTCTCCAGTTCAGGATGTAACTTAGAGGGGGAAAAAGAGACCAAACAAATAGTTTTCGGGTTAGGGGTGTCATCTTCTATGTGGAAGAACCAGGTTCAAGGCCCTGATTTGCTTGACTCAGAGTAGAGGTATGAACCTAGTACTCCCACATGAGAGTGAGCCCTAACCAGCAAGCTATTGAGTCAGTCTTTGTCTCTCAGGGTCTCCTTTTGGAGTTGTTCACTTTTTCAACTAATTATATACTCATTGCAACTCTCTCCTTTTTTTTAATGGAAAATTTTGAAAGCTCTAATTTTTTATTTCAATACAGGACAAAAACAAGTTTTGAAACCTCAACATTTTTCATTACGCTGAATTCTTGTTTTCTGGCCAGCCTTAGCTTCTACAAATTTGTATTGCTCAGCTTTATTGCTTATGAATAAGGCGACAATTTAATCATGGGTATTTTTAGTAAAAGTCATGGACAGGGCACGGGCAATAAATAAATTCACAGCCCATGATCTGTCCGTGACTTATACTATAAATACCCCTAACTAAATCTTAGTGGGGGGATGGTACTGGGGGTGCAGTGCTCTGGGGGGCCGCTGTTGGGGGTATGGAGCCAGCAGCAGTGGCTGCTCTGGCTGCCCTGGGACCACTGATGAGACAATCTTCGGAGCCAGCCACACTGGCCGCTGCTCAGGCAGTCCCCAGGGTCAGCTGCCTAGGGTCACCCGAGCAGCGGCCAGTGCGGCTGGCAGCAGGGCTGCCCAAGTAGCTGGCTGCAGAGCCGCTTCAGCAGCAGCCAGTGTGGCTGTTACCAAAGCCACCTGAGCTGCTGGCCCTGGAACCAGCTGCTTTGGCAACCCTGGGGTTAGCCACACTGGGCACTGCAGAAGTCCCAGAGGTCCTGGAAAGTCACCATATCTATGACTTCCGTGACAGATGCGGAGTCCTACTTATGAAAGCAAAATGCTGCCTCTTCCCCACTTCATTGAAAGCAAAGCATACATTACCTTTCAATTAGGAGTTTTGCATTCCTAAGAAAACTGTTAAGCTAACGTTTCAGAGGTGCCGAATTGCAGTCATGTCAGTTTTTCTCCATCCAAAAACATCCATATGTAAGGCCTAACAATTTTTAAAATTAGGGAGGAGCATTTTAATCCTTTTTTGTTAGATGAAAGATACTATAAAATATCTGCATTTAATAGCTATAATCCTGACTTGGCAATTTATCACATGTAATGTAGTCTATTAGATTATATTTACATTAAATAAATCAGTGTTTTAGGGGTAGTTACACCCTACTCCAATTATAAGGCTTTCTGTTATAAAACTCTGGTAACAGACTTCTGCATCTTCTTGGAGTCCTCATCTTAACTGCATCATTTTTACAACATCTTTTACAAAACTTCATCATATTTGTCTACCAAAGATATTTCTAATAGTTTATCACATTCAGTTTCCACTCTTTTTCCATAGTAGATATTAATATTATTTTAGTTCTTGCAAGAAAAGAGATTAAACATCTCTTGGGATGAAAAGCAGCCGTTAGTAAATTATCTCTTCTTTGGGCAAATCTACATACTATTTAATATTTGAACTAGCTATTTGGTATGCAAGTTTGTGATTTTTTTTTAAAAAATCCACAAATTTACTTTTAAATAGCACAAAATAATAATAATAAAAATAATCTACCAGTGATTGCCCATTGTATTATACAACAAATCCACAAGTAACAGAGAAAAAATTGAAGTGTGGGGTTGTGAGTAAGGAGAAAGTTAGAGTAGTAATGAGGAATGTTTTCATTTATTAGCTTTACTTCAGAATAACAGAACTTCCCCATACTGCAAAGATATGGGCATGTAATGGAAAAGGTTTAATGTGTAGTTAGATAAGAAACTTGGATATTCTACTGTTCATGAGCACCAACAGAAAAACGAATATGAGATGTGCTCTGTGCTGAGTTTGAGCCATGGCCTTGACTCTCTCAAACCTACAGCATTCCACAGAACTTTAAAGCAATCAGTGTTTAGTGGGATTTGGAATTTGTGCCTTGAAGAAGGGCTTTAATACTTTGCTTTTCTCACAGTGATATTTTTTCATTTTATAAATGATACCTGCTGTTCTCAGTATGCTCCAAGAATAGGTACTAACCTGGACTACTCAGGCATGGCATAGAAAAGTTTTTGGTAAAAACAAGTCAACCTCTCATTAAAAGGTGAGAATTAAAGAATCTGAACTTATAAACATGAATGCTTAAAAGGAAAACCTCCTAACATTGTGAAAGCCCAATGGTTTTATCTAGTGTTAGGCCATTAACTATCATATGTTGTTTCTGAACAAGGGGAGGACTGAAATCTGGTTTAGGTACCTTATGTATTGTGATTACTATTTCTGAAGTTTGTTCTCAAGGGAGATGCTCCAGCTTCTAATCAGTCAGAAGACCTCTCTTCCTGCAGAATGTCTATGTTTTGTCTGATGGCTGAGAAAAATTATCTTTTTCAGGAGAGAGGGTTAAGAGATGGTGGGCGGGGAGGAGGGAACTTTTTTTTGGACAGATATTCATATTCATTAATCAGTAGTTCCTGTAAAAGTCTGGTTTCATTTTCCTTTAATTCCATAATTATAAAATCATGAGTGGAGTGGAGAAAGTGAATAAGGAAAAGTCATTTACTTTTTCCCATAATATAAGAACTAGGGACCCCCAAATGAAATTAATGGGTAGCAGGTTTAAAACAAATAAAAGGAAGTTCTTCTTCACTCAGCACACAGTCAACCTGTGGAACTCCTTGCCTGAGGAGGTTGTGAAGGCTAGGACTATAACAGGGTTTAAAAGAGAACTGGATAAATTCATGGAGGTTAAGTCCATGAATGGCTATTAGCCAGGATGGGTAAGGAATGGTGTCCCTAGCCTCTGCTTGTCAGAGGGTAGAGATGGATGGCAGGAGAGAGATCACTAGATCGTTACCTGTTAGGTTCACTTCCTCTGGGACACCTGGCATTGGCCACTGTTGGCAGACAGGATACTGGGCTGGATGGACCTTTGGTCTGACCCAGTATGGCCCTTCTTATGTTCTTATGATCAAGCAATGTTGCTGCTATTACACACATTCTTCATGGTCTGCTAATTCATATATTCAAGAATCCTGAGATAGTTTTACAGTTAGTTGCTTTGTAAATTCTAGCTTTGATGACTTTTTGCCTTCACATGGAGTTAAGATTGTTGTTTCAGGCCTGTAGAAACGACACTTGTTGTGTGGGAGTATCATTCACAGAAACCCACCATCTGTGCTGATTATTATAAATGACCATGGGAAATTTGTGTGCAAAAGTAACCAGACTTGCTAGCAGATACAGATGAGAAGAAATTAAACTGATATCTGTT